CTTTGTTATGATTCATGATTAATGATTTATAGTTTGATGCTAGAATGGGCACGTCTTCTGAGCCCTGACCGAGATTCCATGACTTTCGTCCTCACAGAGGAAAACGAAGATTCTTGACCTTTTTCTTGATTCACATATACTTTGTGATATTCCTGATTCGTATCATTATTCGTTTTTTTTTTGGCTCCTGTATTGTCTAGTGGAGTAGTTTAGTTTGGTCACCCGTGGTAATTACTTTTCCACTCCAAATGGCTCGTCGACGAAAAACGAGAACACATAATAAAGGAAATGCGGCTGCTAAAACCTCGAACGGGGTACCCGGAGATCCAAAATCCTTTGTTATTAAGCATGGACAAGTCGGATACTCAATCACCCAGCTCGTTCGGGATATGCGAAAAGTAATGGAGCCAAACACAGCTTCCAGGCTACGGGTAAGTGATAATAGTAGTTCCTTCCTCAAGAAAAGAACTAATATACCCCTAGGAAAGAGGGAGGAATAAACTAAAAGATTATATTGTGCTTGGACCAACCTTGCAAGTGACACACATCCTTGCATTCTCCTTGACTCCAAAATCTCCTACATTGCGGATAGTCCGTCTACCAAGTGGCCCAAGTCTCAGTTTTCGAATAGAGAGGTATTCTCTCGTAAAGGATGTTTTAAATTCAAAGAAACGAAAACGAAGCAAGGGCCTGGAGTATCTTACACCACCTCTGGTAGGAATCGCATAATCCAGTACTTCTATTTCTAACTTTTTATTCCTTTCAGCTCGTATTGGCCGCTTTTCCTCCAGCAGGTGGCTCCGCCTCACCTCATTTAAGCCTCTTGGTTAAATCTTTCCAGTCGATCTTTCCTTCACTGTCACCTCAAACTATCTCACTCTCTTCTGCTAGACGAGTGGTCCTCGTTCATTATAATGAAGATAGAGATAGTATCGACTTTCGGCATTATCTGATTACCGTTCGTGCTCAAGGAGTCTCTCGCCGCGTACGAAAACTACTAGAAGGTGCCACAACCAGAGGAGGATCGGTCTTGGACTTGGGGAATGAGAAAGACGTGGCGGACTATATTCTACGACAAGCGGGACAAGATGGCTACGAAACAGCTTCAAGCTATGCCAGCGATGCTGGAGAGGATGGTGGTGACAACAAGATTGAACTTCCGTCAAACTATGTAGGAAGGAATAATAGGAAAGGGGAGCAAAGGGTGGTCAGTTTGGAAGAGATTGGTCCTAGGATGGAGTTGAAGCTGCTAAAGATTACAGAAGGGATGCCTGGAAAGGAGGGTTCTGTAATATGGCATCGATTCGGTATGTATATCTACCCCATCTTTTTAAAGGAATTTATCGTTTTTGACATTGATCTAAATAGTCAAAAAGTCTGCCTCAGAGATCAAGGCACAAAAACTGGAGCACGCCGAGAGAAGTCGGTTACGAGAGCAGCGTAGAAGAGAACAAGAAGAAAATGTTGCTAGAAAAAGACAGGATGGACAGGTGCCTAAAGATGGTGAGAAGGAAGATCCCAGTGACGAGGAGATGGATGAAGGCGAAGTGGAGTCCGGCAATGAAGAAGACGAAGGAGAATGGGATGATGAAGAGGATATCAGTGAAGATGAGTCGGAGGATGATTTGGAGTCGCGATCAAATGAGAGTGACGACGACATCGTCCCGACCAAAAAAGGCAAAAGATAATTGCCAGCTGTGGGACAGGTCTAAAATCACATAAAAAGGGATATATATCATCCTCGTTAAATATATATACCTCTGAGTCTAATGTAAATACAAGAACGAACCAGAACTCTGCAAAGCGCGACAGGATACTATGGTATGCTACTATAGGGCTATATCGTGAATCAAACGAGACGTGGATGAAGAGTGATAAGATGCGAGAGAGAAAGTGTCTAGATTATCATATCTCGCATCGTAACGGGATAATAATGGGTGCAGGGTAAAGGGATGATGATGGTGTCATGTATCTTCCTCCTCCACTTCTGGTTCTAGATATGATTCGTTGATCGTATTAATGACAGCCATTTCTTCGTCGGCAGAAGCATCGCCATCTTCGCCACCGTCGTCCATGGAAGCGACTGTTCCGGCAGCAGTGCTAGGATGGCTAACATGGCTCTGGCTCTGGCTGCTATCATTGGCGTGAGTGATAGCCCCAGAAGCACCACCAACATGTTGTTTTTCGTGATTTCGTAATCCTCTTACTCCAATGAAAGCAATACCGCATGGATCACAACGATGTTCTAGAACAATGTTAGAGAGGCAGGTTGAGTTGAAAAGGAACGGGTCCACTTACTTCGTACACGAAGATGAGATACTTTTACGTGCCGACCCAAGTGATCGTTTCGGGCAAAAGTCTTATTGCAATCACCCCAACGACAAACATATCTGCCACTAGAGTCGATCCCCACCGCAAGAGATATCGGAATGCCCGGATCACGTAATATCTCCGCCTCATCGTCGCTTTCCATGTCTGTTTCCTCTTTTGAATGGTCTGCTTGTAACGATAGACCTAGGGCGGACGTCTTTCCGAGGTCGTCGTCATCGTCGTCTTTCTCTATCTCAAATAGCGGTGTCTCGCCCCGTGGATACTCCTCGCAGTTTGTAAAAGACCAGACGCCTTTATTCTTTTGTCTCTTCTTCGATTTCTGAAACCGGGCCTTTCGGGTATAGGTATTGGCGTTAGGGGCTGCAACACCGAAATCATATCTCTCTGCGTCGTAAGGAAGAAGTTCTGGATGCTCAAAATGTTGAACATAGTAGGGCGGAGTGGGCGGGGTGTGATCAGGTTCGAGCAACTGGGTGACGGGTGTGGGTGAAGGGGGGATTTTGGCCAAATCTACAATAGGAACTTTTACATCAGAGTCTTTAGATTTTTTTAATAGTGGAGGGAAGGCCGAATCGTCGTCTCGGTCACTTTGCCCATCCCGGCTAGGAGAGCATGGTGGGGCTCGCAGTCCGACCGGACTCATTATCGGAGTGCTCAATGTCGAGTCTGTTTCACCCAATCCATTTTGTATAGCTGGATCTTTGAGAGGAACTATTCTTAGGCGGCGTAGCGGCCGGCGCTGTAATGGTTGGTCGTCGACCTTGGTGACTGTTCGTTCTAGGACTACTTCGACGGTCTTGGGCTTTTCTTGCGGTGTTTCTACCTTTATCTTCTCGATGGGCGTGCTTTCGATGCCTAGAGGGGAGATGGGATTGTCAGAGGAAGCAAAAAGGGAAAGGCTTGTTAGTAGTAGGAAATAGACACGGACTCTTGCGTGGAGTGGTGATCAAGTTTTGTCGAGTATTATTGGGCGACTCTTGGGGCTTCTTGACTGCAGAGAGGATACTCTCGTCATCGGCCACAAGGCTGGCGTGAGGCTGGTTTGGTAAAATCTGATTTTGAAGGGCTTGCTGGGATATCACTCGACGACGAGTGCGAGGACGCTGTATATCCGCTTGTTCTATGGCAGGGCGTTTCATCCTGGGCTGCCTTGCTGTCGTGGTCGTGCTCAAGGGGAGGGGGGAATCTTAAAGGGCTGGGGGCTTACCCCATCTTCATCTGAAGCCCGCTTCCATAAACTTATTATAAATCGGTTATAATATCCAAAAAGATACTTTTTACGTTGCTCGCATGAGCTGCTTCACTGCTCCGCCACATCCCCGTTTCGTCCATGTCAGAGGAGCGCCCTGCTCCCCAAAGTGTCTGCATCCAACGCAGCGAGTTGTATAACAAGTTTTTGAAATT